GACACTAAATAGTTAATAAAAGTTATCTATATGTATAATTTAAATATTATATATTTGTCTATATTCATATATCATATTAATTATACCAATCTGTCTTTATCTCCTTACACATTTGATTTATTTAGCAATATTATCTATGAAATCTGAAGTCAAAATGCTCGTGATCTCTAAGATTTATGATCAGGGATTAAGAGATAAATCACTAAGTACAGCCATTACTGACCCTTCATACTTCAGATGAAGGTTGAAGAAACATTTATATCTTTCTTTTTTAGTTTCTGAATAACCTGTGAAAATTCAAACTTCATCTTACAAATTGACTGTGACTATCCAATTATATCTTAGAATCCATAGCTCAGATTACAACAGTAAAATTTTTTAAAAGTTTTTTTTTTTATAAAGGATGGTTTCCCTCATCACTAAGTACTTAACTACTTACAGGTTATTTTTGAAGAAAACATTTATGCTATTAAAATAAAACAGACCTTTCCCATCGCATTTTTGCAGCTAAACTATGATAATTTTATGAATTGTTTTATGTTTATCAGATTGTATAACTTTAGCCACAAAATGTCTATGATTTGTAAAACAAGTAGAATATCACAAATTCTTATTTTTTTTTTTGCTTCTAAAGATACAATCAAATCTGGAAGTTAAAAATAGGTGAATATTCTCCCCATAAACCTACTACTAAAGATAAAGTCATTATTTCATAATTTAATAATTATTTACTATAATTGGAAAGTTTTAAATTTAATGATTTCTATATGTTACTAATATCAGTACTGATATTGTTATTTTTATATTGTTGTTTTACTTTTTAAAAAACTGATATCTACTTGATTAAACCATATTGTAATATATTTGTCTTAGGAAACGCTATCATTAGACACTAGAATTTCAACCCCTCTGGCAGAGATGGATGGAATTTTAATGTTTGTTGAGTTTCTCATTGCTCATGAAAAACATGATTATAACTCATTATAGAAACAGACAGACAACAATGTAGAGGGAAAGAAGGTTCACAAATGCCTGTAATTATCTAGGCAACTTGTCTCCCTAATGGCTCTACTTTGCTTATGGGTAATGTTGGTCAGACTTGAGAGGAAATCCGTAATGTCTGTACATTCAATCAATTTTATATTTTTAAAGTGTGCTCGACTGGGATTTGCGTGGCTCAAAAAATGGCCAGCACAGCTGAATTGATAGCTGCGCAAACACTGACAGCCTTGCGGCTAAGAAGATGTGTTTTAGAAAGATCTCCGGGTGCCATCTACCTGTGTCTCCCAGCAAAGACTGGTGTCATGATTTTTACATTTAGGTGGATAATTTGGAGAATGTCATTCAGCTACAGTGAGGGTGGAGGTCTTACATTGTGAGACTGAATCCTATACGTGCAACCTATAGCAAGCTCATCACATTATGTGGCAGCAATTAATTAGGAAAGAATTTTCTGCATTTGTTCTGTTACAGTCAGTATTTTTCACAGTCTCCCTCTTTCCTTTTTTCTTTTCCTTTTCTCTGACATGTTTTGTAGTCAAGTATTCTTCAGTTCTATGTCTGTCTAGGCTCATTTCCTAAACTCTGGAAATGTAGTCATTAAAATACATTTAATCATCTCATTTCTTTTCAGGGCCTTTCTAAGGAACCTAACTTACCAGGCAGATCAATGAATTGTTCTTTGTGTTCTCACTCAAAATACACTCTGTACTTCCAAAAAAGTAAGTCCTTAATGTCAACCACAGAGGACTAGAAATAATATGGGGATTAAACAGGTTCAAAATTCAAGGTGATACTAAGGCTTCATGACTCAGAGCAAGTAATTTTAAAATAAGCCCACAGTCTTCCCTGTTGCTCGCCTTTTTAGGTGTGTACATATTTTAATTTTATAATTTGCACAAACAGCTCTCTGAGATGGTCAAGTTATTAATATTAATACTAGCAAAAAAAATGAAATGAGTTGCATTTAAGCAACTTGCCCAAAGCTGTACAGCTTAAAATACGGAATTAGCATTGAGACCAAGGAATTCTGCTCCAGATTTGACATCAAAATATTATTTTCTACTCATAAAATTCATTTACTAGTCTACAAAATGGAGATGATAATATCTACTTTACTGAGAAAATTCTGAAGATGAAATGCCCAAACATAGTGCTTGAATTTGTATCTGGATCTACTGTGCTTCATTAAAGGATGGTTTATCCTCTTTGTAACTAGCAAGGTGGAGGTGAAAATGCTGCCAGGGGTGGAAGTTGAAGAAGAGGCTAAGGGTTCCAAGTGTGCAGAAGAGGAGGAAGCCCAGGTCCACAATGGACTTTCAGAGCATAACATATTCTTTTATTGACTCTACTAACAAAAGCTCACATCAAATAGGAGCATCATGGGTAAGATCTTAAGACTTTGTCCTACTTCATCAAACCCTCACGTTAAAAGGCTATAGCTGACAGATTTCACTTTAAATTATTCAAAATTTCTGCTCCATAAATATTATCACAGCATGTAGAAAGAACTAGACACATCCCATAGCAAAAATTTTATTAAGTACTAAATTTGGCTTTAAGAGTGCTCTCCAAAAAGGAAATTTCTTTCGTTTAAAATTAGTTAGAAATGCCAGTGCAGCTCAGTGGTACAGTGTGTTATTAGTCAGCTTGCACGGGGTCCTGAGTTTCTCAGCAAGAAACATGACAAAAAAATAAATAAATAATTGCTAATTTGTGTTCAGTATAGTATGCCAATAAAAACATTTTTATTTCAAGGTATATTTAGACATATGCATGCCTTTTAAACAATTGAATACAGTATTCTCTTAAAAGATGAGAAATACAGTTAAGGTGTCATTTGTCTTCATTTTAAAAATGTTTTTTAAAGTTTGTTCTAACATATTTTTTTCTAGGTGAAAAAATACGGGGAAAATAGCAATTTTGTGAAGTTTAAATTAAACTTTTTCAAGAGCTACATTGTTGTTTAAGATAAAACAGTGATCCGTAGTTCAATACTCATTGTGACATAATATGTACCATTAACCAATTTTAATAAGGCATATAATACAAATGTATTTTTGATCATGTGATAGTTCATCAAGGTCTGTCTGAAATAGGTCTGTACATTAAAATTAATTTAAAAGTTCCATTTGAGTTTTATCTCTTAGATACCAAACCAGACAAATCTAGAGCTCAAATATTAAAGCCCTTAGAAATCAATCATAACTTTAAATATTTTGCATTTCAAAAACTTATATTCCTGAAAATTTCATGCATACATTTATTTACTTGTTTGTTTGATATAAACAAATAAATCTGCGCCTGTAGACATTCGAATGAATTCCCTTAGTAAAGCAAATCTGTTACTCACTTATTGGATGGGATATTGAGTGGACAGGCACAAGGCTGACAGTCTTCAGAGGTTCCTTGAGTAGGATCACCATAGAAACCAGGAAGACATTGATTGCAATACAGGCCACCTGTGTGATCCTTACAGTTCTGAGGAAGAGGTGCACATCAGAGTTTATTGTTTTGATCTCAAGCAGAATCATGTTGCCAAAAATAGTTCTACAAAATTATTAGTATGGCCCATCAGGGAAAGTAATTTTTCCACATTAAATGGTCAATTTTACAGCAGGGAAATAGATTGGAAGCTAATTTGATATCCAGTTACAACTTCATCCTCGTTTCAGCATATGCATGCCTGAAAAACGATGACTGAATTTCACTGTGACTTTTTTTCAATATGAAAATTTTATATCTTGTTTTTCTTTTCTTAAGGAAATATATACAATTGTTTGTGTGTGTATTTGTGTGTGCGTGTGTGTGTGTGTGTGTGCATCATAGAGCCCTAATGACATGTGTTTAATGGGTATTGTAACAGATTCTAGGTAAAAATCAATTGTACAGCTTAAAGGCGCTGATTTAATGAGAACTGTGGCTAATCACACAAATCCCTTGAGACTATGCTCTTTTAGCTCAGACATTCATTTGGAAGTTAGTGGATTCTAATGGCTTGGAATGTGTAGTTCTATATTACATCTATGAGGACATTTCTTGACCTGTAATGTAAATGTTAAAAAATGAAGGAGTTACAGCAATATGTAATGAATCTACAAGTCACATAACAATTCCTTTAGGCATTTTTGAAAGAGAACAAGAAGTATGCCTTGCTGCCACTTTGTATTTTTTGAAACATCTTTTTCAAAAATAAAAAGAAACTATTTCTACATTTCTTCATATCATTTAAAGTATCTGCCTCAGGTTGGGCTGTGTTTGTGAACGTCATCAAAACTGAGATGCAGGTGAACAATCCTGCTGACTAAGTGGCAGAATCGTCTCCATAATTTCCAACAGTACAATACGATTAGCCTCCAATGACACAATAAAGACATCTAGTTCCTATTAAAAACTGATTCATTATTACTGAAATATACTTCAATTAAATAAGAACATACAATTATAATTATCCTGCATGTTGTAAAAGAGTTCACTAGAACCCAGAAGTATGCAGCCTTTATTTTATGATCAACAACAAAATTCTGTGAAATGGTTAAAATATAAATTAACCTTAAACTGAGAGTATAAAGTTATTAACCTGTGTGACCACTAGGATAGACTAAGTTAATGAAATTCTGAATATTATTTATTTTGATGTTTTAAAAGAAGGGTGATTTCAATTACACTTAGTACATGAAGTTAACAAGAGCACAAACGTAAATAGACAAAGGTAAGTGTTGACCACGACTTCCTAAAATTCCTTGGAGGGATCAGATTTGTCTGTTGGAAGAAATGTGAACTATAACTCAATCATTTAACTTTGAGCTTCCCATTTAATTTTGGGAAATAATGGAGCTAAGTTTGCTAATCTATAAAATTCCAGAGCTCTGAAATTCCATGCCAGCTTCATTCACTACAAGTAAATCGGTATTTTTATAGTAATCGGTATACTTAAAAATGAATTTGCCCATATTGATAAATTTTTCTCAATTTTTAGAAGATATTTTTAAAGATAGCATAAAAGGTAGTCTTGCTGTTAACAGTCACCAAAATTACAGTTTTAAAAGAAAATAGGTCGATTTGCAGGAAACTTCGTCTCCTTTGAATGGGTCTTCATACCACTTCCTGTCACTTTCCAAGTCTACCTTAAATCAGCAATTACTAAAATTTGCACACTCTTTGAAAAAACTCTGCTCATTTCAAGTTGACACAATGAAAACTGTATGTACAAAGTCCTGTGACTTTAAAAAAAAATAGGATCGTTAAATTGATTACACCTTAACTGGATCAATATATAATTTCTAAAATTGAACTGAAAATTTTAAACAATTTTCTTTTCTTCAACTCTTGATTTATAAGAAAATGTGATAGGTTTCCTATACTTTCTAATTATAGGCTTCATTAAATAGAAACAAAAATAGTCTTATAATTCAGTATTTTTGTGATTGAAACTATAAGACAGCATTAGGGAACCAACACAATGGAAATCAAAACAGAAAAATACGGAAGCTTTACTCTGAGAAACTGTTTACATTCATAGATAGCTTGCTATAAAGGCGCCTTTCATATGTGTGTTCCCATTACATTTAAAAACAAAACAAAACAAACAAACAAAAAGCAATTGAGAAGGATACAACCTTCCCATGTGGTTTGGAATATTCCCTGGGTCTTCTTTAATGCATTTGAGTTAAAATGACCTTGCTATGTAGGTGCAGGTTACAGCAGACAACTGGATTTTGTTCGGAAGGGAAGAATGCACATTTACAATCAGATTTCAAAACTAAGCTACATTAAAAACTAGTGTATCTGTAAATTTCATGAGCTATGTTTACTACTAGTGAAAAATTCTTCATGAATAATGAAAAGGAAGATAAAATGAAAACTTGAACAAGAAGCAAGTAAGAATTCCTTTCACGTGCAGTATTCAAATGTCTTTCTCTGTGCATTATATCAGAATGAGTGAGTTGGGAATGGGTATATCAGTGCTGAGTTATCGATACCAATTAAAAAAAAAGGCACTTGACCAGATCCAGAAAATATTCTACATGAGCATCACCTTACCAAGCTACTAGGGAAACCCAACGAAGAAGAAATTGGGCCTCAATCATTAAATGTCCAGTTTCCCCAAGATCTCACTGTCATTTGAAGGTGGACTCTTTTCCTGTCCTTTGAACTAACAATAACCTAGGATTCTTTTACTAGAAGCCCTCATCTATCAATGCTCTTCCATTCTTTCTCTGTACGGTGTGCTGAGTGAAACTACATTGCTCTAACACAACTGGTTTCCACTCTATGAAGTATCATATCACCAAAAGGATCAACTGCAGGATTTGATTTTATCCTAATGAACTCAACCTCAAACAATATCTTAAGGGTCATTAGGAATTTGGTTTTGTGGCACATTTATTTTTGTCTTTTCACAGTAAGTAAAGCAACTCCATGTTAGTTTGGAGCTGGATTTATCCTATTGTATGTTAATAAAGTGTTTAAAGGTAATCCAATATTTTTCCCCAGGTACATTTTAAAAAACTGTTGTATAATTAAAATGAAAATCACTCAGACTTTTATTTGTAAAACACCATTTGAAAAATCTACTGATCTTCAAATTAAGGCTATCATGTTTTTATGCTGCTATGCAATTTAACAAAATCTTATAGAGAGAAAACAGAAAGAGCATCAATAAACCTAAGTGCCAAATTACACTGAAACAAAAGCCCTGATTTTTCATTTTGGATTTTTCCCAGAAGCATTTAAGCAGAAGAGAAAGCAGGGGGAGATGAGCAAGAGGAACAGAACATTAAGAATTACAGATAACAGAGTTTGCTTAAATTCTGCAGGGAAATGAGAGTATGATATCCTCCCAAATTGGCACCATTTCAAATTGTGTTTCTGCGAGACTAATGAAATGAGAAGTGTTGCTTCAAGCTTCATGCCATGTCAGACAATATAAAGCTAACATGCCCTTGAGTTAATCAGAATTGTCTGTTCAGAGTGACTCTCCAGTCCACAGGCTTCTGGGCACACAGAAAGTGCTCTGCACTTTGTAGAACTTGTTTTCTGGATAAAAATAAAAATTGTAGAAGGAGGAACAACTCTGCTGAGTATGTATTACATATATTTAGGTTTTTTGACTCTAGGTATAATGCTTTCTAATTGAACTGAAAAAAACAGATGCAGTATGTTCTCCTTTTCAAAGTGGAAGAGAACCCTGAATTATAAAAAGTGAATTATGTTTACTACAATGGTTATATTTTATGCTTTTCATATTATCAGGATATAAATCACTTTCTATTTTAGAAGAATAATCCACTTTTGGTAGATATATGGAAGAGAGAAAGACCAAATATATCCACAGTGGATACCTATCTTCACCATTACTGATGCTTTACAATCATGAATTTAATGTTAATTCAGTTCTTAGACAAATATGAATAAGCACTTCCTCAAACTTGCTATGGAGATCGCATATGAAAGAACATGCTTAGCTTCCAATTCAGTTCCATATAAAGATGTTTGAAACATCACTCTTGACCCAGGCATTCAAGGTTCCAAGGGTAGCAGCTGAACTGCAGTATTTGTTGAGTGGATTTCAGTCTTCCCAATCAGTATTCTCAAGTGAAAAGACACTTACCAAGCACTCTCCAGTGATGTCATCGCAGGATTCTGCATGACCAAAGCACTGACATACTTCACAAATGCCACCAAAAACAGTGCCATTAACTCTTCTGTGCCTAGGCCAACAAGACTAAAGGAAAGATACGGTTTCAGTCAGTCTTCAGTTTTAAAAGAAAGAATTTCTTTTTCCTTGATAAAAGAAAATAACTTAGGTAGCAAACTCAGCAAAGTACTTGTCAAAGCGTAGCCATTATTGAAACATTGCTGCTGCGTCTATTATTCCTGACACTGGGGCTTTGTACTGACCTTAGTGTTATTGGCAGGTATGAGACTAGAGGAAGCATTAGCTTGGTGTCTCTTCTGAAATGGTAAAATAAAGCACAAGATATAAAGAATTGAAATGTGACAGTCTCAAAGTAAAAAGCACAGACAAGGAAATATGAAGAAAAGTACGGAGAAAAAGAAGGCTAGGTGAAAGGAGGCGCAGAGAATCTTAGCCTAAAAGAGCACCTAATGTTATCAAGCAACTCAGTTCTCTGGAACACACTATCTTTCCAACATACTGACAGCACTTAACCCTTCACTTTCAGAAAATCTTTGAAATCATTTGGCAGACATACCTTCGCTCTCCCTTGACAGTCTCCTCACATTTGAAAACATACATGGTGACAGGTGCACACCCATAATTCATATATTCCAACCTAAATTTTCTCCACCCTACTATGCTTGCTTAAATTTGCACAAAATAGTTTATGACTTATTTAGCATTTATTGCCTTGATAGCTCATTAATGTTATTTGACTATAAGCTTGCTCATTTTCACTACTGATTTTTAAGCATGAGCCACAAAATTGTATGAAAGCAAAAACCTACTTATAATGGACTGTGTCAAAGGTTACCTGCGTGTTCGTGCTCTAAGTCTGCTGTCATCCTTCATTAAATTTCCTTTCTGTAAGGACTTCTACAGTGTAGATGGGGTGTAAAATAATTGTGAAGCAAATATTGCTGTCCTCTAGGAGGCTTTGATCCCCTTGGGTTGCAATGATATCTTGTGGGTTATTTACTGTGTTTCTATATGGTTGAATATACCATCATATGTCATAAAAGGGCCTTTTTTCCTAGTTGAAAATGGAAGAGAGAATCACTAAAGGAATAAAGCATATAGAATTGTGTTGTGTATTGTTGGGAATGATCCCTCTGCCTCAGGATTTGAGGAACCTTCCATTTGAACAACAATAACAAATATGTATAGTTTTTTTTATCTGAAAACTGTTAACTTTCCTTTCAATTTGAACAGTATAGAAAAGATGGTTCCAATTTTTCATCTTTACAATAATTTTTACCCATTAGAATTTTTGCCTTCACAGATTCAGTATAGAAGTGATTCCTTCTGTAATGTATATTTTTCAAACTGGTAACGCTATATAATCCAGATGGAGGTGAAATATTAGGGTGTTGAGAATGAAAAGTGATTTACTGTTGCCATGCAGGCCCTCATGGTGTTTTCGTTGGTACCTGCTTTGAAAATCTTGCATCTTTTTTCTTTAAATATCCCAATTCCTTATACCTTTTTCTTAACTAATGGCATAATATCAATATTCACAGAAAAATAATGCCATTAGGTCTATCTTTCCACTTATAAGCCAACAATAATAATAATAATTGCCCCTCCAGAACAATCGAAGTGGGAAAGCTGGGCCTTCTGAAGGATATATTTTCAGTTGACTTGTATTTTGAAATTCAGTTTATATTTTTCCAATATTATGTTCTCTATTACATCAGTTAGTGTTTTTTTCTTTATTTAACAATTATCATTCTCATGAAATTATGATATAGTATTTCCAGCAATTAGCACAAATAACGGGTTATGGGAAGATGCATGAAATGCATAAAAATTCAATAAAAATATACCTTTAAAAAATTTATCCAAACTATCAAAAACAAAACACAGAACAAAACAAAAAACAATAACAAAACAGAAAAAAATCATTCCTATGGTGCTATGAGAATGTTTTTCTTCTCAAGGAAATGAAATACCTTTTCTTCTTCAGTTCCCTTCTGTGCTGGATAGCTTTAGTTGTCAACTTGACACACCTGGATAGAGGGAACCTCAACTGGGGAATTACCTCCAGTGGACTTGCCTATAGCCAGGACTGTGGAATATTATTCTTGATTTTTGAGTGATAAAGGACGGCCCAGCCCACTGTGGGTGGTGCCACCCCTGGGCAGGTTGGCCTGTGCTGTATAAGAAAGTAGGTTGAGCAGGAGCCAGGGGAACAAGCCAGGAAGTAGGTATCCTCCATGGCCTTTGTTCCAGTTCCTGCCTCCAGGTTCCTGTCCTGAGTTCCTACCTTGGGCTGTCTCAGTATAGAACTATGACCCAGGAGATGTAAACTAAATAAACCCTTTCCTACCCAAGTATTGGTTAGAGTGTTTTGTCACAGTGATGGAGAAACAAATTAGAACACCTTCCACACTCATTCCATTCTTGTTCCCATGCAACTGAAACTGCTTTTGTTCTTGCCTTTAGATTCCATGCAGTCAAACCTAATCCTGTGTCTGTATGTTATCTGACCCACTGTCATCAGGGAACCTAGTTGATTCCTCTCCCCCTCAAAGGCTTTCTCCTCCCAACCTATGTTTCATCACACTTCTCAAAATTCCAGTCTTTCCCTTTGCCATCTGCTCTACTATGACTGAACTTGTCACATCAGAAGCCCTCAGACATGGACTCCTCTGTCTTATGATCATACTCTCCCTGAATAGTTTACATAGTCTCATAGTTTGAAGGCTTCCAAGTACATATGAAACCATTCAAGTGTGCCAAGTTCCTCTACATTGTGTGTGTCCAGGAGGTGTTCTGTGTATTCTATGTGTATTCTGTTTATTTTGACTGTACACTTACATATATGTGTTTCACAGACATTCCAAACTTAATTATTTCTAAAATTGACTTCAACAATTTCTTTCCCAGTTTTCTCCAGTTCAGTCAATGGCATCACATTCTGTTGTTCAGTTTTTCAAACTAGTAATATAGGACCCATTCCCAAACTCTGTTTCTTTGATTTTTCCCTCTAGCATGCCATCTATCATTAGGTCCATTAGTTAGCTACTTATATGATAGGTGATAGATTGATGAATAAATAGATAGGCAGGTTAGTAGGTAATAGAGATAGAAATATGCAGTGTTCTCTAAATCCCCTGCCACCATCTTAACACAAATCTTTATCATTGATTTGCCTCATACTCATGCAATACAGTGTTAACTGCTCTCCTTCCAACCGGTTATGACCTCCTATAGCATGCTTCTCATACTACAGTCGTAATGATTTTTTTTAATGTAATCCATGGTAGGTATGGTGGTGAGCACTTTTAATCTCAGCACTTGAGAGGCAAAGGCAGGTGAATCTCTAAGAGATTAAGACCAGGATGGTCTACATAGTGAGTTCCAGGTCAGCTGGGAAAAAGGGAGACCTTGTTCCCCCAAAATTTAAAAAGTAAAAATAAAATTTGAAAAATGGAACTCAGCTGGGTGTGGTAGCACATGCCTTTAATCCCAGCACTCAGGAGGCAGAGGCAGGCGGATCTCTGTTCAAGGCCAGCCTGGGCTACATAGTGAGTTCCAGAACAGCTGGGGCTACAGGGAGACTTTGTCTCAAAAAGACAAAAAAAAAAAAAAAAAAAAAAAAAAAAAAAAAGGAACTAAAATCATGAAAATCATGATACCTCTCTGCTTAATGACCCCTGATTATTTTCCATGGTATTTAGAATAAATATCTCAATGGCTATTGTGCATGGCCAGTGTCCTCCAATCATGTATCAGGTTACTCTTCCTGATGAGTCTTGAAGACTCATTTTCTGTCACCTCCTCACTACCTCTTTTCACATAGCTCCTCCAGCCGTGGCTCCCCCACTCTCTCCCCACATAATCTTCATTCATTCACTCTCAACACTTCTGTCATGATACTCCATATATGTCACCTTCCTGCCTAGGGACCCCATTTGTAATGTTCAGCATATGTCAAGGGCCTCCATTGTCTCATACATATGCTTGTCATATACTGTCAGCTGAATGAAAGTACAGGTCCATTTAGGATCTCGTTGGTACTAATTTCATCTTACAGAAGAAGCAGCACTGGGCCTAAAACTCTTTTATTGCTTGCACATTTTGCTTTCACTTCCTCATCTGCCAGGAAAGATGAATTATGGAAATATTAGGCACACAAGAAAAATTTCAAAGATTAATCATAGCAATTTATAAGAGATCACATATAAAGAAGAGACAAAAACAATCTTAATCACCATTTAGACTCCCAAAATAAAATTTAATGGCTTAATTATGGGGTCATTCAATTGGCTTTTGACTAGGAAGTTCTGATCAAGCTAGATCCAAGGCATACAGGTCTTTGCAATTCACTCGGCCTTTTTTTAATATTAAAAAAAAAAATTAGAAGAAGCATTGCATTACAGCTTTAACATACTCAATATAAGTTTCCAAAGCAAAGATACATCTCTTTCAAAAGTGGCTATAAAATTTTTAGGTTCACTGTTGAATTAATACAGTTATACAATATTGAACTCAATATAAGCCCTGTAAGATATAAAATTGAATGAGTTTTTAACCTTTAAAAAAGAGCTCTATTTTATTTTAAAATATACTGTTTCTTACAGAAAGACTCATTGTTTTTGCTAATAACTCTGAGATGTTGGCGCATACGTCTCTCACCTGTATGTATCCGATTATTACTAGTCATAATCGGTTGCACTCGGATACTTGGCACCTGTGTATGTCTATAAAGTCATCGGGTAGATTTCAACGGTAATGTTTATCACCTCTACTAATTAACATAATGTAAATTTTATGCTTCCTCCTCAAATGTAATGAATTTTTTAAAATTTGTTGATTTTGTGTGTGTGTGTGTCACACAGAACATCCCAAACTATATTATTCATCACTCGGCTTTTAGAGATTCCAGGATAGGAGTGGTAAAAAAGCTGGAATGACTGGCCTTGTGAACTAACCTGATTATAAAAGCTAGCAAAATCAGTTAAGGTCAGGGCTGGACAATATCTCCTCTAGGGGCAGAAAATTTTGATAAAGTATGGAGGACTTAACAGAGTTTAAAAGTAATGAGGAGAATTTAAAAAGCCATTGTCCCCTGATGAACTAAACTCTTTCATCAGTTTCAGTGATTTTAATTCTTGTGTGAGAAGTCCTGGAAGCGTTCGTTCTGCCTCCTCTGCTTTTGTGTTTCCTTTTCCATGCTGACACACTTCTCTCTTCCTCTTTATTATCACTTTTTAGCATCTCAAGGACACTTTCCCACATCCCTCCACTGCTTCAGCTCAGCCCATTGAATGATTACCACCATTATGTTATGTACCCCTTACTGGTCCTTTAATTATATAATGCTGTGATTCCATTTTAAAGTAGTATTTGTTTTGTCTCTCTAATCAGATTGTTAGGTCTTTAAAGATGGAGATTGTGCTATGTGCTTATTGATAATTTATAGAGAGAAATTTATAAAATTCACCACATATATAATTTATCAAAAATATTTCTAAAGATGAAAAAAAGAAGGAAGCCAGATAATTGAAGAAGTCTAAAATTCAAACGATTTTGTATTCAGTGCACATTTAGAATAAAAGATGACAGAGAGAACAGAGCATAATGTTGGAAGATATTAAAGCAAGAGTAGGATTAGGGTATTTATTATTCTAACTGAAATATGAATTTAAGTTTCAAACGGAGCTGCCTGATTTGAAATAAAAACTAGAAGCCTTGTAATAAAAGAATATTTTGTCAAGTACAGCATGTGTTTTATATGTAAAATCAAATTTGAGTTGACATAGCTAATTCATATCCATGATTATTTTTCTCATCTCTATAAATTTTGGAAAAGCAAGTATTCAATGAATTACATTAGTCTCATTTCTACATAGTCAAATCTGCACCAAAGTTAAAGAAAATGCACTTGTCATGAACACAACTTTGAGCTCTGTGTATCCTCTGGAAGTATGAATTACTTTAATGTAAAGGAGATCAGGCACAGCAACACCTGGAGTTCCTCTTTATTATCACTTTTTAGCATCTCAGTGTAAATGGTGTAATATAGTGTTGTGAAGGAACACTGACATTCTTTAAAGGTACCATTTTAAAGAATTTTAAGCTCAGAATTATTTGCAAGCCATTTTTTTCTGTTAAGACAATTACATATGCAAGTGTAAATATACATATATATATACACATACATACATAACATGCACACACATATATGTATATATACATATATATATGATTTCAAGGAAATAAAGTAGTTCCAAACTACCTAAAAGAAAATATGTAGAAGTAAAATTTTTAAATTACCTTAAGCGATGTGCTGTGAGACTAAGAAGCATTGGTTTATATTGCAAATCTAGAATAATGAGGCAGCAGCAATTATCTCAAACTTTAGGTGCAAAAGAATCAAAGAATTTTCTGGAGTAAGTTCTTTTTTCCATATGTTTTATTTTTGAAGTTTTAAATATGGTATGCTTCAGGTGTTGGGACTGGGATGTATTATTCAGAAAGAAATAGAGGAAATGGGTGATAGGAAATGGGAGAGGAAAGAATAATGAAATAAGTGTTAAATTCTGACTTGAAATAGAAGTAAAAGGGAAAATATTTAGAAATATCTTTCTGCTACCTCCAGTGCACAGGTAACTAAATAAGGAAGAAGCACAGAAACTATCAGGTTTCTAATTACACTTAAGCAAAATACTTCAAAAGGAAATGCCACTTTGAAAATTACATGGTTGGTACTCAATTTAAAAGCCATAAGCTTTAGGCAGACATTCGAATGTCTCCTTTAATCTATCATGGCGTAGGAGGGTCTCATAAGGCCTCACATCTGAGGAGCAATTGGCATTTGACAGCAACTGAGAGAGGGAGAATCTTTCTTCTTTGGGGTTATGGCCACTGGTAGGTGTCTCATGATCCAGTGGATGACCAACACCCATTCACTTATGGGCAGACTTTGCGTTGTTTAACCAAAAAGATTAAAGGACATGAAGAAGAGAAGGGGGTACATTTGGGAGATTTGGGAAAATGTTGGGGAAATATAGGAGGTGATAAATGTGATCATATTTTACTGAATCAATGTGTGAAATTCTCAAAGAATAAGAAAAATTACAAATAAGATATTAAAAAACAAATTTCTACTTTGAGTAATAAACTCTAACTTGTTTTTACAGTTATTGATGGAGAATTTAAAAATATCTATTTTAAAACAGTTTATCGGCCACAGTATTTAAAGGGTATGTTCATACTTACCTCACAAGAGGTGCCACTGTACCCTGGTGGACATTGGCAAACTTCAACAGAAGCAGCAAGATTTCCATCAGTAGGAAAGGGGACAGCAGATTCAAGATTGACAGAACTCAATCTGAGGGAGAACAGAATGATAAGTTAATAAATAAGCTACTAGGTCTTATAAAACTAGAGGAATGCTACATCGACAATGTACATATGAACAGATTATGCTGAGAAAGAACACTTCCATAATCTGAAACTCTGGACATTCATTATATACTCAGTCCTGGCTGCCAATGAGTTCCACATCCATGGATGAAACCATCTGTACATTGAGAATATTTGGAAAAACCTTGTTCTTATAATTAGCATTTACAGACTTTTAAAATCTGTCATTATTTCCTAAATAATACCATATAATATCTGTTTACATATTCACTGATCACATGTTCAGTATCATATATAATCTAGCAATCATTTGAAGTACATGTTAGGGTTTGGATCCAAAATGTCTCCACAGGTTCATATGGAACCTTAAACACTTAGTCTTGAGGTAATGGTACTGCTTTGAGTGACTGTGGCATCTTTTTGTATGGGCCTTAGGTGACAGATTTAGGACCCTAGAGTTGGGCTTTGAGGGTTACAGTTCAGTCCTGCGACTGCCCCAAGATCTTTCTGTTTCCTGATCCTGAGGCATAACAAGCTACACTCTATTCTCCCACCACCATATACCCAGCCACTTTACCACCCTGCTTCCTCTCCATGATATGTGGCATCCTCTGAGCCATGAGCCAAAATAAACCTTTCCCAAATATAAGCTGTTTCAGTTAGGTATTCTGTCACAGCATGAGAGAAGTTGGTCTTTTGTAATGTGTGAAAATGGTACTGAGTGGTTTCTGATAGAATAAGTCTGACCATTTGGTTTTAGGGCCTTAGGAACTGGTTAGAGGAGGAACATTAAAGGATTTGGAGCTGTGGATTAGAGAACCACTAGAATTCCAGGAGCATTCTTAAGGGGACATTCTACTGGGAATACAACAGAAAGGAAGATGGTAAATACTATACTCATGAGGCTTCAGATGAGAATAAGGATTCTGTCACGGATTGGAGTAGGGGCCATTTGTGATGCATTCTGTTAAAGAATGTTACTATATTCTGCCCATGCCTGAAAATTTGAGTAAAGTTTAATTCATAAGTAATGAACTAATTTTTTGACAAGAAAATTTCAAAACAGCATAGCATGCTGGCTGTGGCATGGTTATTGCTTACTGCATTTAGCAAGATTTACAGTAAGAGGAAAAAAGGTTGAGCAGAAAAATATGAAAAAGAAATGTGCACTTTGGAGATAAAAGGAGCTTGAACTTGGTTGGGCTAGTGAGGAAAAGATAGGTCTAATTATTAAAGAGATTAGTGCCAGTTAGTGGAAATTGTGTACTTTTGCACCAGATCAACAGAAAAGGTGCCTTATGGCAAGAGCCCAACCGTCATTCAGGTATTTGGAGACCACTGCTGCTGTGGTATAACAGACCCAAACTATATCTCTAATAAATAGAGGAACTTGGCATCATCCTTGTGGTGCTGGTTTTGCAGGCAGGCAGAATGGAAATACTACGGAGTCATAAAGGTTTGCACCAAGATTCCAGAGAACAAGCTGATGAGACCAGAAAGGGTGGGCAAGGTTGGATTCCTCCCATGAAGTTCCGAAGAGGCCAGCAGTTGAAGATGTGAAGTAAAGCCTAATTTACAAAGGTGATCCAAGAATGCTTACAATGCCAGGAATATGGGTTATCCACCAAGGAAAGCTACAGGCACTGAGTAAAGCAGGGTTAAAAGAGATGCCACCTGTGTTTCAGGCAACAAGGTTGTGGGGTGGAGCTACAAAAGTCCAGAAAAGACTGAACTTTGGACTTTCAAACAGTATGGGGACTATTAAAACTGTGGAGAATTTTTAATTTAGACTGAGTATATTTTGAATTTTGAGGTGGCCTCTAGCCTATGATGGACCAGGAACAGAATCCTATGGTTGGGAGGTAATTGTCCCTCACAGGCATATGTGTTTGAATATTTGGTATTGTCCCTCACAGATTTATGTGTTTGAATACTTGGTCCTTTTCCAGTGGTGCTGCTTTGGAAGGCTGTGGAATCATCTAAATATGGGGATAACTGGTGGAAATAGAGTCATAGAGGAAGGACTTGAAAGTTACAATCAGCCCTGCTTCTGGTCAAGCTCTCTCTCTCTGCTTCTTGATCTGTGGAGATGTAAGAAGCTGAGCCTCAAGTTCTCACTTCCATGGACCTCCACCAACAAGCCATCCTGTCATGATGGACTGTATCCCCTGAACCATAAGAAAAATTAAGGCTCTTTCCCTTCAATTGTTCCTGTAAGGTACTTTGTCAATGGTATTAGAGAATTAACTAATACAATGGCAAAACTGCATAGGTTAGATGAAAATCTTATGTAGGGATTCAGCATTCCTGAATTTGGGAATCTTTCAATATCTTAGAGGACCAGTCCTGATGCAGAGGTAGGAACCTATTAGGTAAATTATGATCAGGTACAAGAGGTACCAGGCACCATTACCATAAAACTCTAAAAGACTTGAGAATGTACTTCTTCATACTGTAGTTCATAACTATGGGTTTTGATTTTCATCAACCCCCCCATTGAAAAAAATTACAGACAGTTCATAATCATATACTTGGAAGGTATTTTATTAGTAAAACATAACATATCCCCATGACTATCTTAATATTTAATTGAAAATCAGGAAGAGACATTATTAATCTTAAATCTCTGATTAAATTGTTTTAATTTTTAATTTTTTTATGTGTATGAGTGCTTTGCATGTATGTAAGTGTATCATGTGCATGCAGTGCCTGTGGAGGACAAAAGAGGCATCAGTTTCCCTGGAATTGGAGTTACAAATAGTTATGAGCTGCCATGTGGCTGCTGGGAAACAAAACTGGGTCTTCTGCAAGAACAACTAGTGTTGTTAACTGCTAAGCCAAAAATGTCCAACCTATGTCCAGCCCCTTAAATCACTGTTTTTAAATAGAAAGAGAACATGGTACCTACTTTGGTTTCTTTTCCCAGCAATAACTGTGCATGTTGGCAGTAAGTACAAATAAAACTTTCTCCAAACTTCAGTTGAATTAGTAACAACTACTTTTTTAAGTTGTTTTTGGTTTTCACTGTCTTTGTACTCTGAATATGTGGGCTTGAGTCTCAGAAGAGACTTTATTTTCTTAAAGGTAGTCTTTTTTACTTGGGTGAGATGGAATCTCAAAGTGCTTTTAATGTGTATTTCTCTGATTATTTAGGATGCTGAACACACCTTACACTATTTATTGGCCATTTGTATTTCTTTTTCTGAGAAATGTTAATTCAGCTCATTGATACATTTATTAGTTGGCCTTTTTGTCATTTTTTAGTATTTGATTTTTTTCCCTCTGCATTGCTTCAAAAAGATAGACCTTAGGAATATGTATTAGTTAATTCATCTCATTGATACATTTATTAGTTGGCCTTTTTGTCATTTTTTAGTATTTGATTTTTTTCCCTCTGCATTGCTTCAAAAAGATAGACCTTAGGAATATGTATTAGTTTCTTTTTTTTAATTTATTTTAATTAAAAGAAGCATTTCATTACAACAGCATTAACCTATTCAATAACATTTTTCTGAGCTAGGGTACATCTCTTTCAAAATTGGCTGTACATTTCTAGGTTTACAGATGAATTATTACCCTTATATAATCTTTTACTCATTATAAACTCTATAA